CTTCTATATTTTTTATTCTATTTCCTTCTATTGTTTGGTGGACGGACCTTGATTTAACTTCATTCAATTAAGGGATTTCACTTTAATCTGCATAACTATTTCACTCCATGTTAGTATTCTTTCACATAAATTAATACATTTCCAACATGCTATAAACGGTGCCCTTAAATGCAATATCTTGTAACCATTTGACTTCACTTTGTATGTCTCCCTCAACAGTATGTACCATCTTAGAAGCCATATCATGTTTAATCTCCACTCAGGCACTGTTATGTAACAAAACCTACACCAATTTCATGCACAATAACCATAACAATCCCCAACCCATGCACACGATTTTGTAAGCACTTGGTGTGCAAAATTTCCAATACCTTTCTTCCCCCATGTTGGTAATTATAATACCTATTATGTGCAATCGAAGGCTCCATTGTATTATCCATTTTCCACTGTATTAAACAATTACTTCAACCACAACTGCAACAAGTATAATCAGTCCATTTGTTCACAATGATGTAACAGCAAAAGACAACTACAAGTCAAATCGATCCACAATTTATGTGATACCATTGCTATTTTCTTACTTGTGTTTCTTCTGCTTTATCTCTTCTCCGGATCTCCCAACCTTGTACTTCACAATTCCCGTTCACCTTTCTCAAGCCCTTTGATATTTGAGTATCAATCCTTAACTCTCTCCTTCTGCCACTAGTTATTGCTTCTCCTCGCGTGATTTTCCTTCGCAGCCACTCTATTTCTACTACTTCCTGCTATCCCTTGTCTACTACCTGGCAATTTCCAATTCTGCAATGTTATTTTCCCCTTGCTTTTCTTTCTTGCTCTGTTTTGTAGAATTGCGCAAACAAATATGTGAGGATTATTTTGGAAGGAGTGCCACTTACCTTTTCGTTTTGACTATTCAGTTGCACAGGAATGGACCGACGCTTCATGACACAGTCCATCAAGTCTTTTTCTTTTTGTTTTTCCCGTTTCTCCTCAGCACGACGTCGTTCTAGTCCCTACTGAAGCCTTCCTGACGTGGCTTATTGTGGTCCATTCGTTTGGTCTTGTGAGGAGACCGTTCAGGAGCGTCCATCTGATTACCGCTCTGCCCTAATCCATTTTGTACTATCATTACTTTACACTTGGCCGAATTATATTTCTACCAACATGGACAAGAATATAATTGAGCTACTTTTAAGTCATAAAATCATTTATACAAGTATACATTGCATGCACTTTAACTTTATCATAAGGCAGCTCACTCACTTAACTTTTTATATCATAAAGAGAATTGCATGACATACACAACATATAGCCTAACTTTCGTCTATGGAAATAGATCATTGTTCGTAAAATTATTCTTTGCATAAGAAACATTATTCTTCATAAAACTTTTATATATAAAATCATTTAGAAAATCAAAGATAGCAAAACTACTCACGTTTCTTGCTTAACGTATCATTTGAACTTGTACTCTTAACTTACTTGTAGTGAACTTACATGGATACACATTCTCTCGTAAGAAACTCTTATATTACCTATAGCCTTAACTTAGGATGTGCTTGATAAAACTGAAGTCTAAAAACTGAAATTTGAAATCTAAAGTTTGAATTCATTAAGTTATTGAATTGTTAAATATTAAATCTAATACATTTGAGTGTATATCACATTCAGTGATAAGTGAATAACTTATCACTTAATTTTGGAGTAAGTTGCTTAGAAAATTCAGTGCTACTTAATTAATTCAAATGTTCAATTTTTTGTTATCAAACGGTATGAATATGTTAAGATCTGAATTCATTAAATTTAAGTGGTGAATTGGGTTATCAAACAGGGCCTTAGTCTCCTGTCATAACCCCATGATCTTGCATTGCTAAATGTTTGCTTACGTCTTGAAAGAAATTTGACAACTTTACTTCATGGAAAAGATACCTTCATCTTCACTACATCCAGATTTTAAATACTCTTCTTCTACACTTTTGGATCTACAAAATTTTTCTCGTGATGAATTTTGTACTGCTATTGTTGATTACAAAATAAATTTTCTATAATTTGAAATAAAAATGTCCTCATGAGCCTTTTTTAATTTTCTCCAAATTTTTGTACTTTTTTACATTTGCTATTCTCTTATAACTATTTTTATCTAAAGCAACAACACAGATATTCATTTTACAACATTACTGTTATTAAACCTTTTGTTTATAGTTAGTAAAGTGTATGATTAATAGTTTTAAGGGGCAAATCCTGAATTAATCACATTTAATGGGCATTTGCAGTTAGGTTAAAAGAGAAAAAAAAATAAGAACAAGGTATTATTTTTAACAACCTCCCCTGAAATTTCTAAAAATATCACATATCTCTAGACTTTTGAAAATTATCATTGACCTCCCATACTTTTAACCTTTTGTAACATTGTCAATTGATTTTACAATATAAGATTTTTTAATTTTTTTGCCTAATAGGGAAAGGGTGGGATTTAAGAAACAGGAAAGAAAATGAAGATTGGAACTCAAGGCCTCTAAGTCCTAAAGCTTCAACCTTTCTAAGATTAAAAGACTCATTTTGAGAGAGAAAAACAATTTCATTCCAAAATGTCCCTTTTATTGTTGTCTTTTAATTTTCATAACAAACTAATTTATTCCCTTCACTATTGAAAAAAACTTGGCCAATGTGGGGCTTTAGTGAAAAACTACAAGTCATTAACACAATTGAGAGACCATCTACAGTTTTCGAATAATCAATTTATGAAGCTCATAAAAGTCACCTGATATATTTTATGATAGTAAAAATAATTTTTGCACCATGAAAGCATCGAGAATTAGTGTTTTTAATGCAAATTTATGCTTTTGTCATTTCCCTAGTTTTCAAGCCATCAATTTGGACAAAAGAAAAAAGAAAATTCAGAAAAACTAAACAATTTGCAAGACTCCTTAGAGTCACCATATATTTTTTAACTCATGAGACTTGCACCTTCATGCTTTTTTTGTTTTCAATATTTCAACAATGTGCGTAAAAGTTTTTACTAAAAAATATGGAAGGACAATTTTGGATAGATATCATCTTCCCAAAATGAATTTGTTACTTTGTACTCTTGAAATGTGTTGACAATGTTACAAAAAGTTAAGTGTAGGGGAGGTTAATGGCATTTTTCAAAGTTTAAGGGTACTAAATGATACTGTCATAAATCTCAAGAGAAGTGTATCAAATTATCTCTAAGAGCATATAGCTTAATCTATGGGCGGGGAGTTTCCTACTAGAACATGATCGTGGGCATCTTTTAATCTGGCTGACATGCATGATGCTAAAATGATTGAGATTCCTAAGAGTAAAGCTAGCTTAAATCAATACAGCCAAGATGTTCTACTAGAACATAAATAAAGGTTGTCCGCAAAATTTATATGGAGTGGGATGTAGTCATTTTTTTTTCTCATTTATATGAAGAAAATGATGGTAGGTAGATGGGTCCTTAAGTTTGAAGAACAAGTTCTCAAACCACCATCTGTAAGCTGCTTCACGTTAATATAGGCGAAAGACTAGTTGACAACATGATTTCATTTATGATAATGGATGATGGCTAATGAAATCCTTTTCTTTCGCCAGGAAGATAGCTATTTTTTTATTGAAAACCAAAAAAAAGTGTTTTGTTATGCATATTTGTTTTGACCGAACACCATACCAACGCATGAAGTGATCTTAGTAATTATTATTACATGATATCATGTGCCTTCACGATTTTGCACTAAGATTTTGGATAGATGGTGTGCCCTACACAGTTTGATACCACAAGAAATTGACGAACTTGTGAATATATTAATGATTTTGACTAGCATGCATTCAGTAGACACTTATTTATTTTAGTAATTTACAAAATTTAAAGCTGGCATCCCCTCTCTGTGTATGGGATTTGTTCCAAAAAAAAATATTTACATTTGGTAGGCACTTGTAAAGAGACAATGGGTGTTAACTTTTACAAAAGTGAAAATAATTCAGAAAAATATCTAAATGCAAAGGAATAATCAAGGTAAAGATGTGTATTAATATAGTACCTTAGGTGTAATTTATGTATAATAATAAATGCCTTGTATTAATATTAACGGAGATTAGATTTGGCAATTCGGTATTCTATAAGATAGATCCTTCCATCATAGCAGATTGGTAATCTGGTTGGAGAATTGTCTTAGCCTAGTGCTTGGTTTGAATAGAACTTTGATGACATGGACAAAAATTTGATGTGTACTTTCATTTTTGCACAAATTGCATTTTCTTTTTTTCTTTTTCTTTAATAGTAATCCCGTAAATATGCAACAGGTATTTTGGCCAAATTCGCACTAAACAAAATTACCATATATGGATAAAAAATAATTTAAATTATTAAAAGATATAGAAGTTGCTAGAAGTGAGAGAAATTATAAGTAAAATCCAAATATCCATTGACCATATATAAAAGTTGTTAGAAATTGATTGGAGAAGAGTTAGACACAAAAATGGATAAAATCAGACAAGTCAGACGGGTCTTCTGTTCAATATTTTTGTCCACTTTCCTGTACAATGGAAAACTACGTAGTTCCACCTACCGATACTGCTGATGTGGCACATAAAAAAAAGAAAGGATGTTTGGTTGCCTTATACTTCTTCTTCTTTTTTTTTTTTTTGATTTCCTTTGTTTACACAACTTTGTCACAATTCCCAAAACCCTATTATTACCGTTACAATTCCCAAAACCTGTTGCCGCCGTTTTCTGCCTAGAAGACGAAGGAAGTTCTTCGACAAAATAATTTGTTTTCTTTCTGGTGTAAGTGAAAGTAAACAATTTTGGGAACCTTATTATTAAGCAAGAGACTTGAGTGTCGAGAAGATTTGCGATTTCTTTTGTCGATGGTAAAAAAATAATTTTCATCTACACAATTGCTTCTTGTCCCATAAATATTTTTCTTTTTATTGTTTATAGTAAGCGCTTGAAGAAATGCTCATATTCAACCTGATTTGTCAAACTAGTAGTTATATTATGGGCTATAATGAACCAAGGTTTGGTTGGGCTGAGAGTTGTACGCATCAAGACGTGCAAACACTGCATCAAAGGCCAATGTAACTCGACTAGTGTTGGTTGGAATTACTTGACCAGCACTCTCTTCGCAGATCTCTATGGTTGCGGGTATTGCACACTGCAAGATGAAGGATATCTGACCACGAACAACCTGCACAAATGAAAACACGTTAAACACCACCAAGGTGGAACGATCCAGCTCCCAGTGCCCGATGTTGTCCTCAGGCTTAGCGAGCAGGATCAATGTTCGCCCTTTCTTTTCCTTGCCTTCTAATCGATCCAACTCCCATTCCCTGTGTAAAACATTTTGGTCCTCTCGAACTTGTGTAGGTGAGAGTGGAACAAGTATGATCCTTATCCCTTTATGCATGAACAAGTATTTGTTGGAATGACCTTCATAAGTAACCGCGCGATCAAATTGCCAAGGTCTTCCAAGAATAAGATGGGCAGCTTGCATAAGAACCACGTCACACACCAACTCATCCTCATATCTCCCAATGTTAAACTTCACAGAAACCTGCTTGGACACTCGCACTTCGCCGCAATCACTAAACCATTGAAGCTTATATGGTGTAGGGTGATCTTGGACAGGTAGGTGTAACTTCTTGACAAATAAGACACTGGCGACATTGGTACAACTTCCTCCGTCGATAATCAAGCTACACACTTTCCCGTTAACTAGACATCGGGTATAGAAGATGTTGATACGCTACTCTTCTTCATTTGTGCGTTGAGCACTCAATGCCAACCTTGTAACAAGGCCTAGTCCAACTGGTTGGTCAGGGGCAATTATCTCTTCTTCCTCAACCAATGGTGGCATGCCTTCATACTCATCCTCCTCATCCGTTAGCACTTCACCACTTGGAAGCATGAGCATGGTCCTTCGGTTTGGGCATTGGGACGCGATGTGACCGAAACCTTGACACTTAAAGCACTTAGTGTCGCGATTTCTAGGTTTAGATGCCCCTAGATCAGCCTTAAATTCGGCCCTTTGGGTCGGTGTTGAAGATGACGAACCAGGCACCCATGCTCCATTCGAAACCCCACTTGCCTTGGCTGACTTTTGCTCACTCGTGTGGGTAATCTCGCCTTTATACTGCTGAATTCTCCAATTTCCAGATTGGAAGTTGGAGCTTTGGTGGGGGATACCCCTCCTCTTGAGCCTCCTTTCCACCTTGATAGCTTTGTCCAATAATTCATCCATGTCAAGATAATGTTGGAGCTCCACAACATCTGCAATTTCAGCGTGTAGTCCTCTCAGGAAACGTGCCACGGTTGCCTCTATATCCTCCCGAACATCAGCCCGCAGCATGGCCATTTCCATCTCCTTGAAGTAATCCTCAACCGTCATACTACCTTGGGTGAGAGTTTGCAATTTATGGTGCAAATCCCTGTGGTAATACGCTGGTATGAAGCGCTTCCTCATGATCCTTTTGAGTTCTTCCCAGGTGCGAATGAGTGGTGCTTCATTTCTCCTTTGTCTGGTACAAATCTGATCCCACCAAACGGCTGCATATTCAGTGAACTCAATGGTTGCCAACTTTACTTTTTGGGACTCTGAGTAGTGGTTGCAGTCAAAGAGCATCTCACTCTTCCTCTCCCATTCCAAATATGCTTCAGGGTCCGACTTGCCTGGAAAGGTAGGAATTTTGAACTTGATTCCCTTTAGTTCATCATCCCCTTGATTAGGGATGCGTTTATAATTTCGGAATCGGTTTCCATCTGCCATGTCCTCCTCATTGTTCGAATCACCTAACTCCTCCACGTATGGTTGTCTCTTGGAGGCATTCTTGCCTAGAGTTGATTGCTCCACCTTATCCTCCAGTGTATCAATTCTCTGAGCCATGCGATCAATGGCGCCTGTTAATGCTTCAAGAACATGTTTCATGTCATAAGGGTCACTTGTCGCATGAGTTTGAGACATGTTTATAGAGTACCTGCAAGGCTCAACAAACAGTTAGTAGAAACTGCCTCACTCACTCCCTTAGTGTATCACTCACCCTCGTGTATGTCACTCAAAGCGCTCCAATTGACTTACCAAAACACCTTTACCTGTTGGGTTAGGTAGTTTGAGAAATGCTGCTCAAGCCCAAATAATTGTCACCAACTTCTTCCTCAAGAGTAATCACGGAGATGTAGGAGAAAGTGTAGGGAAATGTTCCTAAAAGCTATGAGAAAATATAGGAGAAAGTGTAGGAAAGTGTTCCTAAAATCTAGGAAGAGAATATAGGAGAGTTTCCTAAAGTGGATGAGAGAATATAGGAGAGTTTTCTAAAGTGGATGAGAGAATATAGGAAATGTCCTAAAAATGTATGAGAGAATTTAGGAAAGTTTCCTAAAAAATGGATGAGAGAATTTAGGAAAGTTTCCTAAAAAAAATGGATGAGAGAATTTAGGAAAGTTTTCAAAAAAAATGGATGAGAGAGTTTGGGAAAGTTTCCTAAAAAGGTAGGAGAGAGAGTGTCCAAGTGAGTACAAAGAGTTATCCAAGTGCTTTACTTAGTTTCCTAATTGATTTTGGAAACAAGTTAGTTTTTGGAAACCCTTTGAAAATCCTTTTCCTCTTGAACAACTTTTGGTAACCTTCTTGAAACAACTTTTGGTAATCTTCTTGAAACAATTTTTGGTAACCTTCTTGAAACAACCTTTGGTAATTTTCTTGAAACAACTTTTGGTAACTTCCAAATTCTACTCCAAGAAAGATTGCACAAATCAGATTTGGTTCCCTATTCAAAACAATTTGGTTGCCACTTTCTTTCCTTTCCTTTTTTTTTTTTTTGTGCCAACCGATTCCTCTTTTCTTTCTTTTTCTTTTCGTTTTTGTTTTATGTTTTTTTTTTCTTGACTACAACTATCAACCACGACACAAAACAAGGAAGTCCACAAATAATAACTACCAAGAACTCCAAAATCTTTCAAGAACTTTCAAGGAAGTTGTCAGGAACTTCAGAAATTTCAAGATTGTGATCAAGAATGCAAGAAGCTCAAGATTATTGTAAGTTCTCATCAAGATTCACAAAATTCCAACAAGTTTTGCCAAAATTCAGATTTGAAAACCAAGTAAACAAGTTGGATAACACAAACAACAAGGCTGGACAGATTTGTATTCGGATGAACAGTAACTATGAACAGTGTTTGGTGAACAGTACCGGTGAACAGTGACTCTTTTTTTTTTTTTGGTTCTAAACAAACGAACAGATTGGGATAAACATATATGACTCGAAATAAACGAAAAAAAAAAACAAAAGATATAACCTGGTGGTTGTCGACTAGCTCTGATACCAACTGATGTGAAACCCCGATCTAGACAACCAAAACACCATGGCTTAGGCAGTGAAAATTTGACCCAACTAATCCCTAGAAGTCACGAACAATTTTGATATTATCTCAACCCGTAACTACTCGAATTAACGAACCAAATTGGAGATAGTAGAACGCCACAATCAAGGAGATACTCGATTGATAAGTTCGGGTGAATAACTTGAGAAGATTCTCAAGTATTCAAAGGCAACTCTCTTGCCAAAGAGAAAGTGAAAACTCACTAATTGTATTTAATAGTCAAAAACTGATGCTAAAACAAAGAGGAAGTGGGGCTATTTATAGCCCTTACAAGCATTAACCCTAATCCAAAAATTGACCAAACTACCCTACATACTTAAGGAAGATTTTGGGCCTCACTTACTAAGAAATGGGCCGCAATTAAACTAGCTTAATTACCTAGACTTTCTAAAGCGAGAAATAACCGAAATCAACGGGGAAATCAACTAATCCTACTAAACTCAAGTATTCGTGCAATCAACTGGTCTTCAATTGAATCTTCCAATTCCCCGTGTGTTTGAATGGGCCTTGGTCTTTATATTCTCATCAAAGGAACCAGAAATTTTCACCACAAAATCTCCAAGAAATTTCCACTAGATGATGTCTTCCTCCAAGCTAAAGTTAATCTCCAAGTAGTTTTGAAGTTGGATGCAAGCTTGGAAGTGAAATGGAAGCAAGAATGGTGCAAGATGAAGAGAACTTTCTTCGCTTCTTTTCCCTTTGCTATTCGGCCGACTCCAAGAGAGAGAAGAGAGAGTGTTTTGTGTGTTGATGGTTGGTGGATGATGTGTGTTAAGGAAGCTAGGTTAATGGTGCAAAAGTCAACTCGCAATAGTACGCGAATAGTGAGGTGCACTCCCACTTTTCTCTCTTGTTTGTTGCACTAGTGCACTAAACCTCAAAGGTAATTCCTTTAACACTATAATTATTCACTCTTAGTAGTCTAATTTAAATTTCTTAAATCTTCACTTAGTCGATTTGACGTGAAATACGCGAATTTCCGATTCGCTCGCGATAAAGCGAAATTTAAAAGAAATTCATGTAACGATAGTATAATTAACAAATATTAGGGTAAATAATTTATAATTATTTTAAGAATAAAAATATGAGTCCTCTCCTCCTTAAGAGAATTTCGTTCTCGAAAATTATACCTTGATTCGGAAATAGATCTGGATATTTTTTACTCGAATTTCTTCTTCTACTTCCTAAGTTGCTTCCTCTAGTCCATGGTTTCTCGATAGAACTTTCACCAACGGAATTTGCTTATTCCTCAATTCTTTCACCTTACGATCTAGAAGCTTTATCGGTCTCTCCTCATAGGTCAATGCCTCATCAATCTCAATATTCTCTAGTTGTAGGACATGAGACGGGTCTGGGTGATATTTTCCCACTTCTACTCGGGTATCTCTAAAGGTTGCAAAAGACCCGATGGTTTATGATACTCGGCTTTAACTTGCTGGCAAATTAAACCAGTCTGGACAAACTGCGCAAACCCTTCAAATCCTGGTACATTTTATTCCCTCCAGGATGTATAATATACTTAGAACCGTGCGCTTTTTCTAAGATTTTCTTCCTAAGCTCTTCGTCCTTTGGCACCACTATACGATTCCGAAATCTCAGTACACCATTTACTCCCAGATTAAAATCTGACTTTTCACCTTTATTAACTTTCTCCAACCACTTTTGCACTTCAACGTCCTTTTCCTGAGCTTCCTTGATGCGTTCCAACAGAGTGGATTTCACGACAATATTCCCAAGGATTACTTTCCTTGGTTCAAGATGAGGATTGCAACAACTAACCTCTTTCAACAAGTGCAATTCTTTAATCATCAACCCTGCCACTTGCACTTGACGACTTAAAACATCGGCCACTATACTAGCTTTCCCTGGATGATAATTGATCGTACAATCATAATCCTCTAAAATTTCACCCATCTACGTTGTCTCAAATTCAACTCTTTTTGAGAGAATAAATATTTAAGGTTCTTGTGACCCGTGAAAATCTCAAAAGTCACTCAACACAAATAATTCTTCACTTTTCAAGGCGACACTACTGCCGCTAACACCAAATCATGGGTCGGATAATTCTATTTATGAGGTTTCAACTTACGGAAAGTATGTGCATTCACCTTTCCATGATGTATCAATATTCATCCTAAACCATACTTGGAAGTATCTGTATAAATTGCGAAACCATCTCTTCCGCTCGATATGGCTAACACAGGTGCCTCAGTTAAGCACTTTTTCATTCTTGAAATCCTTTCTTAAATATTGTATGACCTAAAAAGGTTACAATCGAAACTCACATTTATTGCACTTAACAAAAGTTAGCGCTCTCTCTAGATTTAAAAAATTATCCTCAGGTGTCGTTCATGATCTTATTACAAGTCTAAGGGTGTGGGACAATAAAGTAAATATACATATAAGCCATGAAATCAATTAAAAACAAAGTAAATTTTTATAAGTCATAAAAGATTATAATAGATACACCAAGTGAGGATAATTCATCAAATCATTTCAAAAGAAAGGGAAGACAAATAAAGTCACAGAAAAACGTGCTAAGTCGCAAGTGTACGAAATACCAAAAGGACTTTATCCTCTACACAAAAGATTACAATCTCAAAAGTGCTAGTTTAGAATAGGGTAACTACAATCTCTATCCCTCGAGTGGAGTCAAACCATCCCCACCTGTAAAACTTCCACTACTTGGACCCCTTTTTCGGCCATTAGCATTAATTACCCGTATCTAGCATTCGATTGCTTCGTAGCGGACCTAGCTAGCTGCTGAGTATTTCCTCCTTTTGTTAGAAACTCTAGGGCAATTCGAAAACTTATATTCGGTACTACCGCACCTCAGACATTTTCCTTGCTTTCTCCAACACTTGGACTCAGTGTGGTTAATCTTGCAACAGTATCCACAAGTTACGTGAGGAGTCACGGCTTGACCAGTTTGAGGATTTTCTTTGTATTTCTTCTCCAGTTCTACGTTCTTGCGTAGCAAATCAATTTTCTCTGCATATTCTTGTTTCCACCATCCTTCCCAGTAGTCAGCCAATTTCTTTTGAAATTCTACTTCCTCCCAAAGAATGTCCATTTCCTTATGCATCTCTCCCATTTTTGTCATCTCACCGGTTGGCTTAAGTCAACTGCTAGCCTGCCAGGTAAATCAAGGGATCAAAATAAGTAACTATTCACAATGGAAGCTCTGGCCATATTACTCATTTATTCTTTTGCTTCTAGGTTACCCCAGAATATAAATCTTAACTATTCTCTGTTTAATATGGACAAGCTCTTGAGTCTCTACCAAATTACTATTACTACATATAAACATAACAAAATACGGAGATTTTATTCCTTAATATAAAAGTTCCACACCCTAATTCACTCTGCAATACTCATCTACAAAATTGCCCGAGAAGAAACCCTAACCTCTTACATTCACTAGTGCCTCATTTCATCCCCTCAAACCAATTTTTATTTTGAGATTAGACTCTCCGTGAAACTTAGATGGGCGAACTTCAAGATTCACTCTATCCCCACACTTCTTTTGATTTTTAGGTTGGTTGATTGGTTTAGGGCTTTGGTGCTCAACTAACCGTACTAAGA